GTAGAATCCGTTAAACTCGTTAAAATCGCCAAACTCGTTAAACCTGTTTAAATCGGTTGGGCTGTTTTGAAAATTCTTGTTTACTTCTTTTTAATGTTTTTTTACATTTTACCCATTTTATTAATTTATTCGTCTTTTTTACCATTATTTCCTTATTAACCTTTTTTTTAATTCAAAAATTAACCAAAATTAAAAAATTCATAACCCTAACTCAATTTTCTTCCATGCCTTTTACAGATCAGCTCTTCCCCTTGCCTCTACAAGTCCGTTGTTGTCCTGTACAGTCCGTAACCACCACACCACAACAGCCAACAACCACCATGATTATCCACCCTCCGGTCATCTTCGTCAACTAATCTACATCGAAATCCATCACAATCCACAGCTTACCTTTCCTCGGCCACAGAACAAGACACAACACAGCAGTATAGAACAGTGAAAAGGTGATTATCTCCATTCTCATCACCTTTCTTTATTCGCCGATTCTCTCCCTCTAGGGTTTCCGACGAGGTGATACAATTCTTAACTTTGATTCCTTTCCCTTTCCTTCTCCTTTTTCTTCTCTAAAGGTCTGTCCTTCCTGTGTTTCTTTTGCCCTCTTTTTCCCCTTTTCCATTACCCAATTTGTTGGTTTAGTCTCTTCCTCTACAGAATTCAGTAATTTTGTTGCGTCTCTATTCTAATTTTGAATACCCTATGATTTTTTTTTATCTGTGTAACTGCACCAAACCAGAAATCCTTCTTCAGTACGTATCTGCACTCTGAATTGACCTGCAAAGCCCCGAGGTGGATCCTCGAGCTAGATACTCCGATACTTAAGTCAGCAATAATCGGGGCTACCTTTAGAGCGGAGAAACAAGGAGCTTAGGGTTGGTTCCAATTACCTTTTGGCGTGGCCCTTAAGGGGTATTTATATGTTCCGATGAAGAATCCACGCGGCATGCCAAACAAGATGCCAAGCAAGATATCCGGGATCCGATGGGTATCTCCAGACAGTTATTTCGGGACCAGGAGATTGAGCCAAGCAAGATATTCGGGATTTGATGTGTATCTCCAAGCAATTATTTCGGGACCAGGAGATTGAGATATATTTAGATGCAAGGATGTCCATCGTAACAGCTGTGTAGCTATTTGAGCGGGAAGTCCTGGATTTACTCCTTACTCCGGTTATGAAGGAATTACTGTCGTACATCCGAGGTTGGGCACCTCGAACCTGCCCTTACACTATTCCCCCCCTCCCCCCAAAGTCCTTCACTTGTGAAGGATGTTGTTGGAAGCGATAGGGGTAGTGCATAAATAGGAAGATAAAGATGTTAAAGATGAGCTGTGGAAATAAAAAGCCGTAGCCTTACATGTATAGAGGACTGTAGGCAATATTTATGTATGAGCCGTAATAAGAAGTAATGACCA